CAACACAGGATATAGACATTTCCTGTTAGGCCAATTCAGCATATACAGTAAGATGAGCAAGTCTTTTTTTTATTATGAAAAAGACTTAACATTACTTTTTTCCATTTTTTTTTTTTACAATTATAATTTATTATCTTTTATGAATATATCTGGTTGTATATATTGCTAATTTTCCATAAAAGAAACATGTATTTGAGTTTGTGTTTTATTTGAGTTTGATGCATACAAATACTGTACTGTATGATTGTTGAAAATGTACTTTAACATAGAAGGCCAGCTCGACCATTCGGTAGAGGCTCATAAAAACAAAACTGTGTGGTCAGTCAAAAAAAAAAAATGTGTTTGTGATTATTTGTGGCCCATTTGATAAGAAAATGCAAACATTTTTTTTTACATAGCTTTTTTCTTGGTCCGGCAGTTAAAGGGATAAGAAAAAACTCATTCCTTCAGATTCACAGCTTATTATTCTCACCACTCATCCTGTGTATGTGATATTCTTCCAGACTGATGTTGGCAGCGATGGGCCGTATAACATGCATTATGTCAGACATCAGTTGGTTATTAGGAGCTGGTTATTCTGAAACATGACCTCGGAGGCAGTCACAACCTATTAGCACACTACAGTGGATGAGAATGATTGACATAGACACATTGCCAGAAGGCAAATTTTAATTCTTGTTATTTGTCCCAGAAGAGTTATACGGCTAAATAAATCTCTCCGAGATATGCCCTCTCGAAATGCCCAAGTAGGTTTCTGTCACACTCATGCACACATTCGCAGGCCTGGTTGCAATCTTCAGTGTTAAGGCTTCACATCATGACACTATGATCCCAGCTTCATAACATATTGACAGTATGTTGGCCTTCAAAAGACGTTTGTTCAACTTCTTACATCCAAGTGTATCTAAGAAATAGTGCAAATAAGAATTGTTTAATCTTGTTGATCCATTATTTCAAAGGTGGATACTAGTTCAATGTCAGCAGAAAGTCAATGTTCATTTGCTGCATTTCAATTAATTCCTTAACCATCAACTTAATTCAAATTGGGAACAAAACAATTTTTTAAAAAGGGGGTTTAAAAAAACTGAAATGTCTGATGTATCTGTCACCCAATTTACATTTTTCTGTTGTATATGGGTTGTTTTTACCGTCACCAGTCAAGGCTTTATCAATTATTCAACGTTCTAGGCTCCATGACCAGTCATGTCAATAATTCTAAATTGTAATCATTTTACATTGTTTTTGTCTTATTATTTACATAAAAACACAACAATCTGTTAAGGCTTTAAAATATTTTATTTAGAAAAGCAGGACTTTGCAGCCCATAGACTGCTAAGAGCTAACAGGCTAATTGCTAACATCTTAGAGCTAACATTAACTAGCTTTCCTCTAGCCAATTATAAAACATATTTGTGTAAGCAATGCAGTATTGTCACAGTAGAGTAGACCTTTGCATTGACAAACCCGCCCCCCCACCCTCTGTTGTGTCGGGGTCATCTGAACCCGCCTTAAAGGCAACAATCAGAGTAACCAGTACTTTCTCCACTTAACTCTGGATGAATAAGCATGGCTACTGTACATGTCTTTTTACAAACACACACAAAAGTGTTTTTTCGATTGAAAATCAATACAGTTTACCAATGCATTGCAAGGCCACTGTGTGTATCCAGTAAATGCAAATGATGACTCACTGAAAAGTCAAAGATCAGCAAAGCAGGGCAGCTTTTGAAGTAATTCCCTTGACCAAATCTGGCAAGCAGCTACTTTATTGGAATGTGGAATTGAATGTGGAGTCTATTAATAATTTAGTCATATCTGACACTGCAGGGTTTGTATTATAGTTAAACTATACACTAAATGTTTGATAAGCATCTTGTAATAATGCTGCTGTTAGCCTATATGTAAAGCAATACATTACACTAGACTAGAGGAGTCATGCAGACACACACATCATCTTACCCACTGGTGGGAGTGTGGCAGGTCTCCAGGTCATGGATAATGTTAAGCAGAGTAGTGATCCTGTCCTTGTTGGCTGCCAGGCTGGCCTCCACAGTCTCGAGCCTCTGCTGTAGGGCTGCTGATTTGCAGCACTGTGGGGAAGGAGGCAGCAACAGGGCTGCAGCAGCTGTCTGCGAGTGAGCCAGGCTAGGGTCCTCTGGGCACGGCTGAGGGGGGGCAGCGCTACATTTTGAATCCACTCTGACGATCGCCTCTGCCTCGCAGGACGGGAGGCAGGAAATGGATGCCAAGACCTTTGTTGATGACGGCAATATGGAATTGCATTCAGTGCCTGTGCGCATAAAACACTTTTCCTGTCTGTGAAAAGGGAATGGTGCAGTGAATGAAAGCTCTGGACTTTTGTGTGTTTGTGATAGGGATGAAGGTTCTGAATCAGAGGTTTGGAGAACTAAAGGTTTTGTAATTGCCTCGACATGTACACCAGTGTCTTTCAGTGATGAGAAAGTGGTCTCACTGTTTGATTGTGCTTTGTCAACTGGTTTTGAGTGATTGGAAAGTGTCCGTTCGTCGGCCTTATATTTAAGACTAATATTCGCATGCCTGACTGAGAATCCAGAGGAGAATTGTTCTGTTTTTGAATCCGTCTCCTGGGCGCTCTTTACTGGTGGGCATGTAGTGGATTGTCCCTCATGTTCAGTGTCTTTGTATTCTTGATGATGCGTGCACCTTTGTTGCCCTGTGTTTATGCAACCCCGGAGACAAGAGCTGCTTGACTTAATTAGGGAAATGTAATTCTTAAGGTCGGTGACCTGGGGCACATTTGAATTTTCATGGTCATTTGACTCATGCAAAACTAATTCATTGATTAGATTACGACTGAATTTATTTCCACGCGTATATGATTCAGTAGCCGGAATAATGGCTGATTTAGGAGTTGGGGTGCTTGCATCACTGACTTTGATGTGATCTTTTGACACGTTTAGCTGCTCGGATAATGCAACCGGAGTCATTGTTGAGTTGTTTTCCTGATTGGAAACAACACCACACACACAAGATTCATTCCCGCTTTGAAACCTGCTGTCTGTTGCTAGCGTGTGATCAGGTTGAGGCGCGTCACTCCGATTAAGAACGTTGGTGTGTTGTGTTGTGTCTGCTGATTGCAGCAAAGCTGTATCTGTGGCACGGACGTTACTTTGGTTTCCTGTCAATGTAGATGAAGAGGTGGAGACAGTGTGTGGTGAAGTTTTCAGATTGATTGAGGAGTACCTGAGGGCTTTATTTTTTAATAGAGTGCCGTTGCATGTAGATGTAGAACTGGGTGCTGCACTTGAAGGCAACCTAACTCTTGAGTCAAGGGGTTTTGTTTCACTTAATGTTGCGTTTACAGATCCTGTGGAAACATGAAGCGCAGGCTCGGACTTTGAGGCGTTATGTAGAATAGGTTGGATCTGTGTAGCCACAGATTTACTTTCAGTGCTGGTATGATCTGAACTAGAGGTGCGATTCAAAGCGTTCTGTGGGACAACAGTTCTGAGAATTGAATGTGACGCAGTTTTGTTTTGCATGGAAAATCTACTTGAGTTCATCGCAGTGTCAATAAAAGATGCTTTTCCAGGTGATTTTTCCTCAAAGCTTGATACTGTTTCTTCTTGAGGGGTATATGTAGAATTGCGAGAGAAACGTGGTCGACTTGCAGGGTCTAATGCATTGGCTACTTGTAATAAGACAGGTATTTTAGGGCTTATTCCCAGCCTATGAGTTGTATTTATTTCTACACTTACTATTTCATGTTGCGTATCAGCAAATTTAGCAGGTATACTTTCAGTGGACGCCAGTACAGTATTAAATTTTGTGATTGATTTGCGCGTGTTGGTAGTAGATGTGTTTTCAAATTGAGAAGATGGTGACAAACCTTTTTTAGGCACATTATTTTGCGCCGAGTTGTTTTGTGGGTTTTCAAACTGCTTAGGATAAGTGTGTGTGTGTGGCTTGTTTGGTTTGGTAGCTGTTGCAAACTGCGGAGCCAGAGCGAGAGTTGTTGGTCGCGGGACTTTACCGCCTTGTGGCGATTTTGCTAAACATTTTATACTGGCTTCCTCTTTTCTTATTTCAATCGTTGCTTTAGTAAAAGTTATGGTTTTGGCATGGAGGATGGTTGTGGGTTGAGGAGACGTTGCATCAATTGCAGCACGTGTCTCTGAAAAAGTGTCCAAATTGCCTTTAGAGTGCACTGGGCATGCTGGGTGTGGGGTATTTCCATACTTTAGTTCTTCACTCAAATATAACATTTGTGGATTAACGAGTGTCCTGTTGTCTCTGTTTGTGATGCTCTCAGAGATTTCACAATGGCTAGGCTTAAAGTTTTTCTCCATATTGGGCATCTGGACATGCGTGGTAGGTAAGGCGGAGGCTGACTTCGACTTCGGCTGTTTCTCTGCGAGACAAGCGCCAGTATTGGAGCTTTTCTCATTCTGTTTGCCACCGCAATGGCTGCATATTCTTTGTGGCATTCCAAAAGGTCGGGCAGCAGATAACAGCAGCTTCCCACACCGCTCTGCATGATGACCTTGCAGTCCGGTTGGGTCTCTTTCACGAGAGAGTGCACTGTTGACAGACTCTGCCTCGTCGCTGTGAACACTAATTCCGCCGATCGCCTCTGAATCTACCACGCTGCCGTTGGTGTAGCGGTGAGCAGATTTTAATTTAGACCTGACGTTGGTTAGATTCCCAGCAAAGTGTGGGTTGGTCTTGATTGCCCTGGCATAGCAATAAGTCCCACTACTGTTCCTCTGACTGCAGGCCACATCCTCAGAGGCCTCACCTCCTAGTGCTTTGAAAGTCACTTCTTTTTTGGTCTTGGATTCCCCACTTTTCTGTTTTAAAATAACCCTTTTCTCCTTGTCAGTCTTTGTTAGAAGTAATATCTCCTTGTACACCGTTTCCTTGGTGATGTAGCTCTTGGATGTTTGAGTAATGCTATCCAATGGCGTAGAGAGTGTATCAGTTAACTGTACACTGTGCTGGGTGAGTGGTCTGCTTACCCCCGGGGATGTCTGAACACCCACGCTGCACTGAGGTCCCCATGTGTGAAGCAGGGCTCTGTCTACTCCTGTTGTTCTCCAACCACGCACTCCAACCAGGGCAGGGACACCCAAAACTGGAACTGGAGTTGTCAGGTCAGCGGCTCTTCTCCCCATCCCTTGTTTGGCTGTCTCAAAAGTCTGGTAATTCAAGAGAGCAGCGGTATTTCCACGCCATTACATCCATCTAAAAAGTAAGAGAGGAACAAGTTTACAGTGGGAGGCATTTGAGATTGTGCCATGAGAGAAATCTATGAGAATGCAGGACAAGTTGAAACAATGCTTAGAGCTAACTGAGACGAGGGACAGCTTCAATGCCGCAGGAATCAAAGATAACTATTGCTGTCAGAAATGAAATGCAGACTTGAGATAAGCCAGAAAGAATCACGCTCTCAACTAAAAAACTCTCCCAACCCGGGCTGCCTGCATAAGAAACAGAAATCTGTTAATGCTTATAAAAAGGTGGGCTTTGAAAATAAGTGTTTTATATTATATTACTCCTTGACAAATACTGCCTCCTTTTAGTGTCAAAAAGCACAAATGTATCGAATACAATTCAAAATGTTGCGGCTTTGTAAACTCTGTCTCCTCTCTAATGGGAATGTTTGTCATAGCAAGCAGCTTTCACTGTGTTGTCCTCCACATTCAGCTCACCTTGGAAAGAGGCCATAATGTATACACACATTGATGCTATAGACTTCATTAAGCTTTGTGTGCATTTAACTGGAACACCCTTTCACACGGCTGGCATTTGTGTGCGTGTGTGTGTCTATGCCACTCACAAATTCACATGTGCCAGTATTTTCTTGTGCGAGAGGTCATTTTAATAATTTACGCAACAGCAGTTCCGTAGTCACCAACGGGGCTTTAATGTGTGACTCTTTTTGTGCATATTAACAGGCAGTCTATCATTACACACTGAAAATGCAGTGTGAATGTTTGGGCTCGCGAACGGTGATTTATGACAACATTTTCATGCAAACACATTCTGACAAGGCTCCTCTCCACCCCCCTCAACAGCCTTCATACAGGGATGTCAGAATTGCAAAAAGGAGAACATTTTGAGATCTTTATCGGTACAGACTATTATTATTATTTTGGTTTTCGTGTCACCTAATGTTACTTACTGTACGCTCAGTCAAGTGACCTGTCTGTTGTCACCACCGTTTAATGTGATAACTGTCCTGCCCTGTTAATGCACAATTAAATTCTCCTTTGCTGGGGTGACATATATACATGCTCTTTCAGTGCCACACACTTTCTTCACATGATCAAGACTAAAGAAAACAGAACTGTTTCTCAGCACATTCCTACCAAATGTGTTTTTATTATTCTGTTAAGCAGGCTTACCTGAGTGTTTGTCTGATCCTGCTACGAGTTTTCTTGAGTCCAAATGTCAGTAGCTACTTTTACGCCTTCTGTTTTATGTCCTCATTGATCCATCACATTTGGAAGGACTTTGTCTTCATACATCCAATCCCTTGGTGGTAGAAAACAAACTCATAGGAGTCTGCAGGCGGTCCTTCTGCAAAGCATCGATTCTTGATGAGCCCTCAATTCTGAACTAATCTACCTTTCATTGATCAGGCATAAAGCCACGCTGTGTCCTCATTGTATCCCCTTCTCCTCTTGTTTTGGTCCTGCTGCTCCATGCTCACTCCATAATCACAACACAGCAGAATGTTACTGTGAGCTGCCCTCCAACACTCTCTGTCCTACTATGCCTTGCCTTTTTGCCTCCTCCTCCACTCTCTCCCTCTCACTCCCCCTCTCTTTTTTCTGCCACTATCCTCCTCCCCAGCATTCATGTATCCTGTTCTACAGCTGGGTGGAGAAAGAAGAACAGAGCGAGGGAGAAAGAGAGGGAGAGAGAGGAAGTGACTTGCATCAGTGGGGTAGGGACTGTGTGTAAATTACCATGCAGGTGAAAAAGCAAGGAAAATCATTAACAATGATTTTAAAAGATTTCATTTTTACGACAACTCTATCCGGGTATTTTCTGCTACCAGGACATTATTATTATTGTCACATATGCTACATCAGGAAAGATTACTGTTTCCAGAACTTAATTAATTTAGTATTTTATACTTTATTGTGACTGCTAATTTACTTTTGTGTGGAGTCTGAGTGTGGCATCAGGGGCAGCAACTATTTTGCAATTACATTTTTCTGGCCAACATTGGTTTATGGTTTCATACACGTATATAGTGTTTGGTAGGTGTTGTTGTTTACACAAACACAAACTAAACTGGACATAGTCACATGATATAACCTATTTTGGGGATAGCGTTTTTCCACTACAGTAAAAAAGTAAGGTATAGTAATTATTTAATAGGCTTCTATACAATCATCCTTCTTTTCGCAAGCAGTAGAGTCGCCCCCTGCTGGCAAGTAAACAGGGTTGAGGCACTACATTTACTTCAGATCCAGAGTTTGCCACTTGATTAAAAAAATCCGATTTTTCAGATTAAAACAAACATTATTGCATTGAATAAATATGTTTATATACTGTATACACACACACACACACACACACACACACACACACACACACACACACACACACACACACACACACAGACTTGATAATAGGGGCAAGATTAAATTAAGTCAAACACCTGAATTACTGTAGGCAATCTCTGTTGCATAGAAATAATTAAAATGGGATACCTCAACATTTAAATCCAAAGTAACAGTAGAGATGCAGAAAGAAATTGCTTTCAGGCAATATCTATACATTGAAAAGTTCACTCGTGGATAATAAACTGCACTTTTGATTAAAATGATCAGAAGAGAAAGTACAGCCCTAGCAAACTACTCCACAGTGAGCTCTCACTTTGGATCCCTCCTTTGTGCTTTAATAGCATATTACAGCCGAATATAACTTTTTGGAACAATTTAGAGAAAGTCGTTTCAAAGTTAATGATCAGACGCCCCATTTTTAAAACGCTTATTTCAATATCTCCAAAAAAGCCACTTTAGCTATACATGGCAATTAATTGGTTTATTGAACCCACTTATGAATCTGAAATAAGGCCCGTGTTTGAGATTAATTACAGTAACCTTTCTGCTGCAGATAAAGGGATGAGAAGATGCTTTTTACAGTCTCCTCAAAATGGAAATCTTGTCGGAGAAGGACATCTTTATAGACCCATCTAAAGAAGTTTTATATCGGTTATATCAGTCCTAGATCACTTTATAGTTGGGCATGTTTTGGCTAAATGGCTTTCCTACAGAATACAGGAACATTATCATTTCACCTCTCTATCAAGGTTCCTATCGATGTGAGTAGATGTTGTTGTTTCTTGCAATCAAAATATACAATACAGTTGTTTATTGTATTTCCACATTATTTGTTGTAAGAAAATCTTCTCAAATATAATATAAAATGCGACAACAGCTATGAACAGCTACTGGATTGAAACACTTAAGATGCCTGACTGTGCCAAGTTCAGTAGATTGCGCTCATGTTCCATCACTGCAGCCCTGGGGAACAAGAGGCTGACTTGTGAATAGAAATTGTCCCATTGACTCAAGGTGATTACACAATATTGTATCAGTGACAATATCCACTGTGCCTCAGTAACAAGGGACAACAGTTTTACTGTCACTGTAAGAGCTTTTCATATTTAGAATGTACTGATCCTAATAGTTTTTGGCTCTTTAGAGTGTGTGTATGTGTTGTAATGTTTTCTGTAATTCTTACTTTTAGTGTCTTCCTCATCAGACCCAAGTCCATAAGGCTATATGTGATGAACTGTATCAAGTTGCTGCTAAAGCTGAATCAACAATCTGGAAGACGGTGATTGAAGAACCAAGGTTTGGTTACTGCTGCTTTGATGAGTGGATGGGTTGCAGGTGTGCAGCTTGGAACAGCTGAATCAACTTAACAGCAATCAGGAAAACACGAGAGGAAAAGAGAAGGCCACACACAAACACACATACACAATCACACACACTTCATTGATATTTTTCTTTGAATCCCTGTTGAAACAGCTGAAATGTTCTATCCTTTTGTTTTTCGAAGACATTAATGTTTGGTAAAAGCTAGTGCTTGCTAGATAACATGTTTTAGAAATCCAGTGGGGAACGTTCATGAAAGAGTTGAACAGTGCGTTTTTACATAATTTTCATTGCTCAGAGAATTACATGTTTGCATCGGAAGGTTTTGTCCGGTTTAAAATAATTGAATATAACTATAGTCTAGAAATTAAAGGCTGAATAAGGGACAGGATTTTACATTGATTTAAACCTGCAATACAGAACATGCCCACTAAGGGGCAGATGGGCACCAAACAGACAACTAATAATGGTATTGTTAATGTAAGATTTGTTTCAGTTTTCGTCTGATTTGTTTTAATTCACAAACTTTATAGATGTTTAGACTCCTTTTGTCTTTTTATTTTAGTCTTTTTTTTGTTTGTAATCATATTGCGTCTATTTATATTCTTTAAAATGTTTTTTTTTGGTTGTTTAACATTTTTTATAGTCATTGTGAGTCACTTTGTTTCCCTTTGCAGTTGTTGTACATCTCTTTGTAGTTGTTTGTGTTTCTCTGTAGTCATTTAATTTCACTTTGTAGTCTATTAATGTCAATTTGTGGGCCATGTCTCTTCATGGTTGGTAAGTGTCTCTTCGACATTTTGAGCCGCTGGCTTTGCGCCCTTCAGTAATCTATTCACTGATAATATGACTGGTAAGGTGAATGAATGTTTCCATTAATCCCATTGTCATTGGGATTAATGTGTTGTGTATACATCTTAAAAGATCAACAATTAAAAATTTAAATATATTTATTTGCTGATTTGCTGTGTAACATTGTTACTCAGTTTTTTCCGATTATACACAAAGAATATGTTATAAAATATAAACAATGTGGGTCAGTTGCCAGTCCCTACTCTCATCAGTGGGTGTCAGTATTGCTCAAGAGATGGGGTGTTTCTCAATGTCGAGGACGCTTGCTTGGTAGCCAGTGGCGGTTCTAGACCAATTTGACTGGGGGGGCCAGGCTGGGGCACAATAAATGCAGGACAAAAAAGACAAAGACAGTATGAGGTAATTGCGCATAAGAACACAATGCAATATAGTTATTTGTATTTATTTCATTACACATTATTATATGCTTACCTTTAACCTTTGTGTGCTGTTTGGGTCTGTGGGACCCGTTTTCAATGTTTACTAAAATAAAATGTATGCCATTTAATTATTTGAACCTGCTTTATTTGGGGGTGGACCTCACATCATCTAGGGAGGTCCGGGAGCATGCACCCCCGGGAAGATTTTTTTTTTAAATGTTAAAGTGAAAAGCATCAATCTGGTGCACTTTGAGCACAACATGAATTTATGGATACAGCTCTCAACACTCATATGAAAGGGAGCTGTATACTTTTCAATAATCCAAACATATTTAAAATATAATCACAACCAATAACAAATCATTTAAAGTTGTTTATTCTTATCTTATGTTACCTAGTTAGCATTCTTTCTTTTTATTTGACTAATAACTACCATTTTAAACTGTTTTTTTTACTGTCCTATAGTACACATTGGAATGATTTCTTACTTAATTCTTTACAAATATATTAAATAGATAAAGGTGTGTTCGCTCACAGAGGCTGTGTGCTCCTCCGTGGAGAAGACGGCTTGCGTTAAAAAAAAGATATATATATTTGTAAAGTGGGGGCTATTGAGGGCTTGCGAGCTACCGGTATCGACGTGTTGGAGACCCCTGCTCTAATGGGTCCGACTAGAATTAAAAATATCTTTAGTTCCGCCTATTACGTCAGCCAAGAAATCATTTAATCATAAACTTTTTTTTTCATTTTCAGGGGGGCCACAGGGGGTCCCCCTAGAACCGCCCCTGTTGGTAGCACATGTCTTCCGAGTCACTTGCTTCAGAAACGAGGCAAGAATCCTTCCTAGCCTCGGAAAACAAAGAATTGTGGAACAGGCTAACAGGTGTGCAGGTGTGCGTCATATGCGAGGCCCCGCCTTAAATGGAGCGCTATTTCTGCCAAAGATTTGGAAATTGGTCCGTGTGCAAAGCATTTTGGGGATTTTAAGACCGCGGAGTCTACACATGTGCATGTGCAGCCTCGAAATGTCTCGCTACAAAGTACGCCGGCCTCGGTAGAATTCCAAGTATGCTGGACATTGGAACAGTCCTTCGGCGGCACTCGATGAAGTACTGTAGTATGCTTGAAATAGTGGCTCTGGAGCAGCCTTCCTCGACATTGAGAAACACCCATGGACTCCTGGAGAAGGAAGTGAATCAAGGATTTCTCCAATCTACAGGCAGATAGAGCTGTTGTGCATACATCTACAGACCACAATGAGAACACTTTGTTCAAATGGAGAAGGAAGATATTAGATTCTCCTTTTCCCCTTAATCAGTGGGTGTTTCTCAATGTCGAGTACGCTTGCTTGGTAGTACATGTCTTCCGAGTCACTTGCTTCAGAAGCGAGGCAGGAATACTTCCTGGCATTTAGAAAACAAAGAGTGGAACAGGCGAGCAAGTGTGCAGGTGTGCGTCATATGAGAGGCCCGCCTTACATTTTCCGCCACAGATTTGGGGAAATTTGTCCGTGCGCAAAGCATTGTGGGGATTTTAAGACCGCAGAGTCTACACATGTGCAGCCTCGAAATTTCTCGCTAAGAAGTACGCCGGTCTCGGTAGAATTCCAAGTATGCTGGACATTGGAACAGTCCTTCGGCGGGACTCGATGACGTAGTATGCTTGAAATAGTGGCTCTGGAGCAGCTTTACTCAACATTGAGAAACACCCACAGAGTCTCTCCCAACTTGTGCACATACTATGTTGCTGACCCTTTGACCCTTTGCTCAGTTTGAGAATTACAAGCATAAAGGGTTTATTATTCCCATTTTGTTATTGATGGTTGCTCAATTGATTTTCTCATAGGCCAGCTGCTTATGAAGCCTTTCCCTTGTTATCATGTGTTTTCCATCAAGTGTATAGCCTTTTCCCCCCATTTGTGTATTGAACGGGTATGAAATGTGTTTAACAGTCTTTACGCCTGCCAATAAATGCAAATGTCCATGACTTAGCAGAGTTTAAGTAGTTCCTTGTAGTGTGATTAAGTTGTTTTCACAAATTTCGCAACAGTGCAAGGGAACTGTTTCAGTTTATGGCGAGGGATTTCCAGGAAGACGAATCAGATTTTTGTATTTTCTGACAGTCATCATTAAAAACCTATCAATCAATCAATCAATGTTTATTTATATGGCCCAATATCACAAATGTTACATTTGTCTCAGTGGACTTCACAGTTTGTACAGAATATCAGTATGACAATATGACACCCTCTGTCCTTAGACCCTCACATCGTACAAGGAAAAACTTCCGGAGAAAACCCCACAGTTTAAAGGGGAAAATGGGAGAAACCTCAGGGAGAGCAACAGAGGAAGGATCCCTCTCCCAGGACAGACAGACGTGCAATAGATGCCGTGTGTAAATTTAAAAGATAATACATTTGCAACATAGGTAGTCCAAATGTTTGGAAATGCATGTGTGTATAAAAAAAAAACCTAGCACAGTTTAAGAAGTTGGGGGCCTTGTAAGTGTCCTTTTGTTGTTTTCACAAATGTCGCAATAGTGCAAGGGCACTGTTTCAGTTTATGGCCAGGGACTTCCAGGAAGACCTGTCAGATGTTAGCATTATCTGATAGACAAGATATAAAACAGATGGTTTACTATGTGAGTTATTGTCCTGTACTCCCACAAATACTCTACAATATCTTAAGGGATCATGCATATTACATTCTGTCAGCTATCTTTGTTTCATTAACTGCATGAGCCAGTTTCTTCAGAAAAAATACATGAATGACAAGCTGTTATATAAACTCTGCCTTTGATTCATTCCAGTTTAATGGACTGTAATAAAACATGACGAGTTACCTCCATGATATAGAGTTACTAACCGTTAGTTGAAAACAAGTGAAAACACAGCTTAGATGAAAGATATTTAAGAAAAACTTTATTTGTGACTTATAACAAAACACATTACCAGATGAAATAATAAGATTCACTATTATCACCTTTACAATGAAAAGCAGGTGTACAAAAAAAGTTATGAACTGATCTGCACTGTCACAGTCGACTGGCGTGCACCACTCACTGCCAAACCCAGCGACCGAGGAACATCCACTATACACAAGCAGAGAATACATCAACTTTATTTTTGTTACAACGTTTTATGTATTTTGACTTTTTTTTTCTTCTTTTTATACCGTTTTCTTTACAAGGGATATATATGGAGGATGAGTAAATGACTTTCACACTGGTGTTCGTTTGATCATCATTTCAAAGTTTAACACAACTTTCAGGAATGATTTTCTGATCTTAGAAAATCATAAGGGTAAACACATGGGGGAGGGGGAAGCATTTCATAGCATAACACAATAGCATTATGTATATCTAGAAGATTAAATTCATTTTCAACAGGATAAAAAATGTGATTCTTTTAGGTTTTTTCCACAGAATTACTGTTCTCAATAGCTATGTATGTATGTATGAATGTGCGTGGGTCTTCCAGTGTGTGTATATTTGAGAATGTGTATCAGAGGTATATGTATTCCGATACGCATCTCCCAGTGGAAAAACATATCTATGTATATATAGTATCTATATATTATCTGTTTCCTTTGCTTATAACATGCAAACAGCCACTTGGTGATCTGACAGAGGTACACCTGAAGGACGGGGTAGGGGGGGAAAACACATGTGCATGGGAGGGATCGAGCCCGAGCAGCACCTACATTTCCCTACTGTGAGTGGTAAGACAATGTTTAAAAGAAAGGAACACTGAGGTGAGGTTTTATGACACTTTTCCTTCATAGTAATGCTGTTCCAATATCTAAAACTGTTTGCTAACATGCCACACCTGGGTTTCACAATGTCAGGGCCAAACAAAGCGTATCGGTTTTACACCGTTCACACTTCGACAATGAAACTTGGACGTTCTTTCTGCACAGCATGTCCTTGCAACACTATTTCTATCGATTGTGTGCAGCAATTAAGACAAAAGGTATCCTTTCAAAGGTCTTGCTAGCTGAGATTATTGTCTTACAAATGTCCTTCACCTCCAATAAATTGAATTCCCCCCTTTCCAAGTCAACCACAAGTCAACCTCCTTCCACTGCTGCTGAACTGCGCTGCATGTATTTTGTACATGGTTTTAGTCAACCCCACGTTTATCAGTTCTTACTAATGGCTGACAGAAGAATGACTGCAATGCCTCTGCTCATGCGAAAGAGGAATGACCTGCCCAATTAACTCTGCTGCAGTTTCCTCATCTTCTACGTTGGAGCTGCACAATGACTATTCTTTTGCTTCTCCATTTTGTCTCAACATTTCCAGCACAGCATCAACCCAGATTCAACTAACTTGTCAGATTTTCTAACAATGCACTATGCAAGTGATGACAGATACACTTTGGCTGAAAGGTTCCTAAGCTCAGCTGAAGTTGAACCTAACAAAAGATGTGTCTTTGTGTGTGTACTATATGTGCATGTATCTATCTGTGGTATTGAAGCAGAATGACTTCCATGAGAAATGTCGTCCAACCATGTTGATTCGAAGAAACGGGAGTAGAGCAAGGAAACAGGCAGCGGGCAAGCAAACGCTCCAAGCACTGAAGCAGTTGAGGCAATGGCACAGGGCTTGAATAACAACTACTTAACATTCAAAGACAGAAGAAGAGGGAACAGGCTTGAACAGAAATGAAGCAGCAAGCAACGATCCTGCTTCCCATCCATATAATACACTCAACATTAAGGATGCCATTGGCCTCCCGTTAGTGTTCTTTTCGTATATTTTTGTGTATTCTGTATATATGTATGTGTGTAAGAGAGAGTGTGTTTGTGTGTGTGTATGTGTGAGTAAGAGGCTGTGTTTGTGTACAATAATGTCATTCTGAGTGTGCTGATACACAGTGGGATTATGACCCCATTGACCTGTGCCATATTCCAAGAAAAGAGGCATGGTCAGGTGCCGGTTGCATCAGCTGCACGTAGGTTCCCTAGTTTTATCCGAAGTTAGCCACTTATCCCGATCCACGCATTGCTAAAACACAAGCGGTAGCACCACAAAAATCTGTTAACCTTAAGTCACAACTAAATAGTTAAGCAAGCAAGTAAGCAGGTGCAAATTATACAAAGTCACACAATTGCACTCACTAACAGTAAAGCAGAACTTTTTTTCCCATTTTCTTTTAACATTGTTCCTTTCTTCTTCAGTAATTCCATGCCAATTTGCAATTTTTAAGGACTATAACAGTGATGTTTCTGCACATTTTCTACACAATGACACATTACTGATGACAATTTTTGAACTAAGATTTTTTTTTTTTTATTCCATTCCATTAAAGTCAATTTTCTGAGACCTGGCCAAATTGTATAATGCAGTAAACTATACCCTGTGTTCACTTTAATGCATATGTTAATGGTAAATAGTTTCAGGGTCTCAGCTCATTTATTTTTGTGGCAATAATATGACAATGGCTCACAAAAATCTGAAATCTCGGTTATAACTTACAGCCGTAGAGTTGTCCGCTTACTACCCACGGTACAATCGAATCGAGTAATTTGCTAATAGCAAATTAACCAGCAGTTATGGAGAAACTACTTTATACCCTAACCTTGGAACAAATTTGCGCATAGTTGGTGCAACCCAGTCCAAGTCCTCAGCCTCAGCAGTGTGCTATATTACATTGAAAAACAGAGCTCTTTGTTAGAGTGTGGTCCTACTTGTCTCAGCCACCCCAATCTCTTAAAGGTGCTAATCTCATGATACATATACTGTATGCTGTTACTTTTTCATTTTCATATTATTTTTTACAAAAGACCGCATTTGCTGAATTTCTACAAGGCCTCCGTAATACTGAAGACAAAAGCCTCGGTTTCATTTTTTTTGTTTGGCTTCCACTTCACCTCCAAGTAGGTTAGCCAAAAAGGAAGGGGGCTGCATAAAGACAGAGAAGCCAACACAGGCAGCCTCAGCTGACAATGGTCAGATACAAATAGAACACCTTTTCAGGTGTTTTTGTTTTATTGTATAAAGTGGGGCAGGGGGCAGCAAATCACAGAAAGGCTAATCTAATCCAATAAAACCCTTTCTGTTTGAATTTGGTCCAACCTTTCGATCAAGTCTATCCATTAAGAACATTTGTTGACCATAAACCTTAGACTTTTATAGGCCTACTTTATGGATCAAATGAGCCAAGACATTTGTTTAACACGTTCTTATGACGTGGGGAGCCAGGCCTGTTCTAATGAGGGTTTGGCCACTGTACAATGTCTATGCAAATATTGTGCAAGGAGGCTCCCTCGTTTTTAAAATATGTATTTGGCGTTTTTTCTGGCTCTGTAATTGGGATGGTAGTTTGTTGATAGCTCTGTTTTCAAGTCACCCCTTCACCTCTAATCATCATCATCCTTGCCCTTATCCTTCTTGTCTTTCTTGTCCTTCTTCTTCTTTTTCTTCTTCTTGGCCTCCTCTTTCTTGCCGAAGCTTATGAAGTCACCTTTGTCATCTACGGGGCCGGCGTCCTGGCGAATAGAAATGATGGCTGGGGATCCGGGGATGATGAAGGCTTCAGGATGAATCTCTCCGGGCCTCATGGGCTGAGGAGGGTAGTAGCCCTGTCCGGAAGCGCCGTACCTGAAGTGCCAGCTGTTGCTGTCTACTCCAGCGCCCACTGGGGGGGAGAGTTCACCACCATCTCCATCTGCACAGGTAGGACAAATAAAAATAATGATATCAAGTCTAGCTACTCATTACATTTATGAAATCCTTTCTTGAGTCAATAAGCTATTGAAAGTTAAATTAGGAAATCGATTCTTATATTATTTAATTACAAGTTGAACAAACTTGTTCAAACAAAAGAGTTAATATGTTCAATTTTGATATTTAATGGTGTGACGTGGAATCCTTATTCTTGGAAGTGTACTCTCGGCTTGGACAAAGTCAGTGTGTTGGGATTAGTTGAGTGAAATACTTGGAAAAATATTCTCGTTGCCAACAAGAAAAGGCCAGAGTGACATGAGAGTTAGGAGGAACAATTATTGGATCTGTGACAGAAAATGTGCACCAACCAGATGGGGGCAAGAGAGTTGTTATGTTCCTTTGGATGTTCTTGTTTTGACAAAGCTTGGCATCCTGTAACTTATCATACTAAATAACGTAAGCCAGGTGGGTGGGGAAAGTAACTACAGTATATATGTGTGATATTTGTATAATTGAGGCGCGCTCTTGGTATTGTTTCCGTGGTTTATCATATTTGACACTGTAATAAAACTAAAAGGAAAAGACCTGTCGGGCTTCAAATCTCCTCCTGCCTCTCGTCTGATCCTTTCCGGCCACTACAGGTGCTGGTAGGCCGATTTTTATGTCTTACATGCAGGCAAGCTATCCCCCAGTTGTCAGTTTTTATGCTAGGCTAAGTGAAACAGTTGCTACCATTCTAATGCATCAAATGGGCAAAACTGCACCTACTTTGTTCTAAAAGTGAAACCAAAAAAAGAAACGGGCTATATAACTGAATTACAAATATCTTTTAACTTGTTTAAGCACCAAAGCTACATAGCCATGATAAGGAAAAGATTGTAATTTGTGTGAAAATTAAATGAAAGTGAAACATTTTCATGAACACAAAGAAAACAACACATCTCACTAACATTGGTCTAGTCCTGTGTTTTTAGTTTTTAGCTTTTATACTACATATATTAGCTGACTTCTGCCTCTGCAGTGATAATGACTTCTGCTGCTTTAGTTAGTTGTCGCCTTTTTGTTTGAATTGTTCTCGTTAATCAACATTATTAACAGTATGAATAGACTGTAATATTTAATGGTTGAAGTAGCAGGCCCTTTCTGACCCAAACCCATAAATCTGAAATCCATTGATAATGCCCATCAATTGGCTGTTAAACTAGGTCTAGCAATCTTCTCAACAACGCATTTACAAATGTAGAACCATTCCTTGAAGTATAAATTCCAAAGTAGCTCTTTACAAATTATATTTTGATCACTTGTGAGTGGCAGAAGCAGGGCAGTCCATTCTGACCGCGACTTCACAGAGGTAAATCCACCTTTGCTACTCAATGTGAATTAATTGTCCTGCTTGTCATGCATAGCTTCCTAATAAGACTTGATGATTTGGTCCTTGAGATGTTCATCAAATCTGACATGTAAGGAATAATCAAAATGGTGCACAAAAGCGTGGAGAGCAGTAGCCTGACAATGGAGCGCTAGCCACAGGGAGTGGATGTTTTCAGGACAGATAGACCACAGGAGGGAACACTGGAGGGGGATAACCTTTAAACCACAGGGATGTTTGACTTGGCAGTGTTATTTGTATTTGGCTGATGACAGCAGCCTAATCCTACTCTCATAGGAGGCCAGAGACAGGGATTCAAAATCTAACATTTTGTCCTCAAGCTTGGATGTGACAGAAAGGAACCCATTTGGGGAAAAGATAGTAAGACAAAAACCTGTGTATATATAGAGGAATTGCTATGGGAAGTGAAAATAAGACATAGATATTAAGGTCAAAAGGTTAAAGACAGCGGAATGAAAAGGAAAGAGGATGTGAGATGAGATAAGAGGAGAGAGAGAGAGAAAGAGAGAGAGAGAGCTAGAAAGAGAGAGAGAGAGAGAGAGAGCAAGAGAGCTAGTAAGAAAGATGGGGGTGGGCGGGTTTTGCAGACACCGTGCTCTCAGGCCCACACCAGTTCCCTCTGCGCTGACCTACTTTCTCTCTGGATTTCATTTAGATCAAACACGGCCCTTGCAAAAGATTCTGTTTGATTTTTTGTTGTAAGCTATTTATGACACTACTGGAATGCTGAAATAGTTTCAAACCATAGTCCCATTGGGAAGTACACTATTCTGAAAATGCATCCATGAACCGGCCCCTACAAATGAGCTCTTCAAGTATGAGAATACATTATATATAAATGGCCTATAATAAGAGCAGATGTAATGGGCAGTACCACAATGCTCAATATTTCCATACATGTATGCCCTGTTTAACTACTACACCTTTCACATAAGGCTATTATATTTATTGAGCCATGACTCACTGAAAATTCATTTTATATCAACACAGTAAAGGATTGAGGTTGTAATATAGCAGGAGTGGTCAGATAGTGTGTCTTAAAGTAACAAAGCAGCAACGTACCATTGTGACAGGAACAGAAACACAGACACACATAAATCATTTGTTTTCTTCTTGCAAAAATAGAAGTATTCATTTGTAAGCTTCATTAAATAATAAGCTTGTGAAGAACCGGGATATCTAATAAATCACTTCAAGCCTCGACTGCAGAGGAAAATGCAGATTTAGTTTCTTTGTTTTAAAAAGATTGTTTCATGCCAACACAGAAGGGTCCTCCGCATTGTGACATACGTAGCTCCATTACATGGGCCGCCAGCTCTCTTTACATGGTGGTCCAGAAACAATTACATTTTGGAGCAGATCCAGAACAAGGCGCAAATACTTGAATTGTGTTTCTCAAATTGCTTCAACGATTCCAGAGAGGGTGTTTGTGGTGAAAGAAACATTTCCCAATCTGAAAAATAAGTCCACAACTGGGAAAATTCAATTGAACGCCCCCTTACTGTATGTCGCAACAACAAATGTTATCTTTAGTACCAAGATGATGTTGAAAACTCTTAACAGTAAACAAAAACTTCTTTGTGGTGTCATGAACACACTAAAGTTAGATGGGCAACTACCCAAATGTGTAAATGGTTCCATTCAAGGAACACTTGAAAGAAGCTTGTGCCTTGGCAGACTCTTCCATTGCCATCGTAAATTGCCATTGACCTAAGTTATTTAGCTTGTTAAATGATTTGTCAGTGTCATATGTTATCATTTTGTCTTACCATTAGTATAATTCTGTAATGCTGTTTCAAAGGATTATGATTTGATGTTATGCTCTTTAATCTGGGTATTAAACACAGGAAGAGGATCTGGTATTTTTAAATCAGTCCGATTCAATGGCTTTCAATGGTTAGACAGGAAGATTGCTTCTCATGTGGAGGAGGACAACATTCTTAAAATAACCTGAAAAGACAGCCGGTTAGTTAGATGTGCAAAATACTCTCAGGCAGAATGTGCAAGATCTCATTCAGCCAGTAATGCATTGAGTACATTTGCTGCACGCAATGCACCTCCATTTTATATAACTGACATTTCCTGTTACCTATTTAAAGGTGGGTAAGTGTTTTCAGTCGTTATATTTTGTTAATACATTATTTAGATGGTCTTAAACTGCATTTATGGAGGTAAAGACATACAAAGGACCTTTCTTTTGGTATTTCCAATCCATTCTATTCCAAAATTAGCCTGCAAACTACCTTTTTATCATTCAATGACTTTTAATTATATTTAAGTATAATGGGGCAGGTTGCACAACTCTCCTACAGCTTTACAAATATGATTACACACAAATAATTTCAGACCCAAAGTAAATACAAACACCAAATGGAGGAGAAAGGTCAATAAGTGCACACAGTGGAAAGGGTTCTGCCTCCTGGAAGTTTGAATGTGCTCATTACATTTTAATCAAGCGGAAGACCTCTGCGGATGTCTGTTTTTCCTGACAAGTTTATTGTAAGTATCGCTCACTTCAATTGTTCTTTAATACAGCTTGATGTGCACTTAGAAAATAACAGAGCCATTTAGAGAAAAATACATAAGCCTAAAACCAAGAAGGCCCAACTCAAGTATTTAAATTGGTAATCCAAAAACCAATGGCTGACATAATAGTGACTACGTCCACTTCTTATATAGGGTCTATGATTACAATGTACTAATAAGCCTGACGGAGGTGATGATGGGTTCACATATACATCCAGATTATCCTCCGATTCAAATTAATATTCATTTAAGATTTTATAGAAATAATAATAATAATATATTTTTATTTGATCCAAGTTATTTGGTTTTGGCCAGACCATTGCAGGCAGGCTACAGGACCTTAATTGTGGTGGACCACTCAGTATAGAAAAAGGTAACAAGAAGCCTTTAGATTTGGCCTGCGTAATATATTGTTTTCATTGCAATGTCCAATTCTGACATCGTTTTTTGTTCTTTTAAAGTGAATAAAAGCAGAAGACTTTGAAACGTACTAAATGTAATTTTTAAATAGTGCCTATTGAGTAAATTTAAATGTAAAATTTTATCAATAAAATAAATATTATAAATAATTTCCTTTCATGTTTTAAGAAGAAATAGAAATGCTAAACTCTGTAAACTTTAATATCTGTTTGTATATATAATTAAACCTGTGCTGATTATGAGCCTGAGACTGTTTTCATTGCCAGACTACGCTGTAGCTATTGTGCATACAACAATAAACCCTTTGAACCTTTGAATTACTGTACTAGTAGTAAAAGAAGCTGGAAACCTCACTATAATGACTGTGTTCCTGCAGTGAGGAAAATTGTACAGTTTGAGAGCAGAACAGTGTTTGGTTTATTTGCACTTGATGAGGCTATAGCATTTCATGTCCTTATGACCAACAGAGGTAAAATGTCAAGTGGCTGTGAAGTGTCTAATCAAATGAGTATTGTCTCAGCGACTCGGGACATCCCAGGGCTCTCTGCAGCGGCTGTGACGAATCCAAAACCCTGACATTGTTAATTAGAATCCTGGCCCAGGTATTAATCTGAGATATTCCTCTGTGTGTGCGTGAAAAAAAGAAGTCATAACGTGCTGCAAGAGCTTTGCTTCCTCTGCTACTGTTTCTCTAACATGGAGGATTATTTGTAACTCTGCCATAGCTTCATATTAGCCTATATTTTGGAGCAAATTCGCATCCTGAAACGGATTATGGTGAAACGGCTGGTAAGCAGGTCAGCACAGCTCCTTGTGAGGAGGTTGCCATGACACCTGCTAGATATGTGGATGTTTGAAGCCTCATTTCGTGTCACCTTGATGTCCTACATTTAAAATAGGCTGTGTTTTTTTCTATCTCATCCAAGATACGATTCCATCTAAAAAAGAATCCCTCTGGTGGTTTGTAGCACATAGGGTAACACATCTGTGTGCGCAGAGTAACGCTTGTATAAATATGTGCGGTTTAGCCCATGCATTCTGCATGAGAAACATCTACCAGAACCATTATTTCCTCAAATATTACTGCATCCCCTTTTTCTTCCTACTACCTGCCCCTGCAGAGTCTGCTTCCCTTTTCCGTTCCCTGCTCCTTCCTTTTTTTTCTGTCTGTAAATTTTCCATTTAAAGATATGACCCGTTGCCATGGAAACTGCCTTCGCCCACTCCCTGCTGATGGAGGGTGCGGCTGCTGCAGCAATCTCTCAGTTAGACAGTGTTGCCAGGCAACAGGTCACATGGCGTTCCCTAGCAACAACACTACTGCAGGAACCTGCCAATCCTCTTAACCTTTCTCTTCCTCCATCCCCCCACACCTCGCTTTTTTCCCTTTCTCTCCATCCCCTTGTACCTCTCCTCTGCTCTCCCTCTCTAAAATTGCTTTTAATGTTACTGGATCTCTTTTTTTCTCCTTGGTACTCTCTTATTACTGATAATAGCTTCTCTCCCCCTCTGGCATTAGACAAAGGTCTCCTCGTCTGCACCATGGGTCACTTACATAAACACAGTTTTGAGGGTGCCGCATTTAGATGCATCAGAGCATACAAGACAACTTCATGATAACAATTCACTGCAGACATGAAAATGTGTCACAAAAAAGGCTCCACCTCTTGATGCATAAGAGGATTAACCTGCAGTCCATTACATGTCTATGCCTTTAGTGCCAAGCCACTAATGACAAATTATTCATCATGCAACAACACATGTCTGCAGTAGACACTGTACACTCTGCTTAAAGACAATATTTGAGTCTTTACATGACCATGGCGGCAGCTTTTTTTTTAACTGCTTACAAAAACACATTCCTCTGCAGCCAACAGGCATATAGATGCTGGTAGAGCTTGTACCTTGAATCATTTCCCAGCTTTTTTCCCCAGAGAGAAGCGCTGACAGACAGTAAGACATATTCCGTCACTGGCTTGCCGTGTGATTGACTGGGATGCTACCCTTCACCCTCAGATCTCTACCCATGTTGTTATTCCTGCAGCTAGACAGAAAATCAATAAATGGCTGAAGGAAGGAAGGAAGGAACAGCTCACAATGTTCAAAACACTGTTTCGAAGTTGTACGTTTTAAAAAGTTTTCCAATCATTGGACAAAAACCTGTCTTTAGCTTCCTTTGAGCTTGTGTTTCTGTGAAGCACAGGTCATTTCCTAGCCTGTTCTATTTACACTTATGTTGTGCTACATTTTCAGTCTGTAGCTCCCTATTCTGCAGCTGCTTTCAAGGGAGGATACAGTTGTTTATCTGTGGCTCTGTGAAAGAGCTCCAGGCTTTTGGCACCTCAGCTAAGTTCTGCATGAACACTGCAGTGGAATTCAGATCATATAGATATTCAAAGCAGATGTCAGATCTGAAGTTTTACCATATTATCTGAACAACGGATTCATTCGACTTCACAAATGTATTACATGTTGTGATTCTGATTAAATGTCATTTAGTGGCTTTTATTTTGAGACAACCTCTGTGTTGCATGCCCTATGGGACTCCTTTCTGCTAATATTGACCTAGATAATATATTGTCATTTTTTATTAATTGTTTCACATTTTAGGAAGTGCTCTTTGTTGCAATGATGTTCACATAATACACATTTCATCTCTGTACGTTAAATAATAACCTAGTGTCAGGAGACAGTCAGCCTAGCTTAACCTGAAGACCAATATTTGGGAGAATCAGTAAGCCTAGCACTGTTCAAACGTAAAAGACAAATATTTCGGTACCTGTAAAAGCTCACGGACAAACCACATATCTTCTTTAAAGGTCCCATGACATGGCCATTTCTACTGATCATAATTCCATTGTTGAGGTCTACTAGAATAGGGGGCAACAAAGACAGGTCTTTTCTGTGTTAGAGTTTTACTCGCGACAGGTTGTACTTTGAGAGTTTGTGACTTTGCAGACCGTTTACATGCAGAAAAACCTGGGTAATAACCGGAAAAGCATGACTTGGGACCTTTAAACAGTACAAAAGAAAACGGAAAAAAAATTCAAAACAACTTTCGGATTTTACACTTTGGCTCTTGTACAGAATAAACAAACGAGCCTATTATGCTGAATAGCAAGCTTTAGAGGTGCTGGTAGCCATTTTTAAAAAACAATTTTAATCAAAACAAGGCTAGCCGTTTCCCGTTGTTTATAGTCTTTATGCTGAGCTAAGCTAAGCGTATCATGGCTGTTTTCTAATGAGCTACAGATATGAGAGTAGAATGATTCTTCTCACCCAACCCTTGTTAAGAAAACAAACACGCGTTTACCAAAATGATAAATTAGTGTACTTCTTTACTTTAGCTTACTAAACTATTATCTGTTTCCTTGAAGACTTAAAATCTGTCTAAAGTATTTGTTTTCTGGCACTATTACAGAGCATACATAATCAACAAAAAAATGATAGTCCACATCACTGTAGCAATTGTTTAGCTAACAGCTAACACAACAGTTTATGCCCTGGGCAGTGTTGGGTTATGCCCTTCTGTCTAATGATGTTATTATTTATGTATATACGAATAGCTTGTACAACCTACTGTGTTTATGAACCCCAGGGTTTAATTTATTCACCTGCCAGCAGCTTTATTGGAAGGGAGTAACATGAGTGCAGCGACAGGGACATGAACACATGCTGGCTTCCCCGACCATTATGTTTTTGGCACGCACAACAAGGGTCCCAGAGGGATTAAATCTTTGGTGCCTGCTTAACATGCCTTTCAACAAATACCTTGGAGCTGTATATTGCGTAAGGACATTCCAGTACACCTGACTTGGGCATCCTCTGCTTTTTAATACACAATTTCCCCAAATAAGCTGACACTCTGGGTGCTTTTCCCCTACTCTCTCCTCACTGCTACTCACCTGCAGCGCTGGACACAGTGGGCCAGTTCTGGACCAGCATCCCCTGGGCCCCCTGCACCATAGAGGACTCCTCCATGTGGACCGAACTGAAAGGCAGAACACATTCAGCAAACTCAATGAGACACTTCAAATCAAATATTAATTCAACCTTTGAATCAAACATTGAGTCATTATTCATGACTATACAGTCTGGCTGTTAAGCATTTTCATATTAAAGAAGTTTGTTTTTATGATAGTATAGATTTCCAAAACATCAACTGAATGGCTATTAAACACTTACATTCTAAACATTTCTAGCAGCATTGGCCACTATTTTCAGGCCTCGACAACCCCAGTGCAGAGAGCGACTACTTTTGGACTACTACACCTATTTCTTGTGCTTTTGGTGCCCCTAGAATCCACTTACCAGTTTTCATATCTTAAAAAAACAACAACATTCAACCCTTACATGTACAATACTCTGCCTTTAAACAGTGTGAGAAATCCCCTTTTACCCTCAAATAAAGAGCTAAATAAAATTGAGCCAACATACATTTTATTAAAGGTCCCATGTCATGGCCATTTCTACTGATCATAATTCCATTGTTGAGGTATACTAGAATAGATTTACATTGTGCAATTTTCCAAACTCACATTGGTTTCTCATACAGCATCTCTGTATAGTATGTGTATTCACTCTCTGTCCTAAATGGTTTGTTGGAGCTCCTGCCCCCCCCCTCCCTATGTGCTCTGATTGGTCAGCTCGCCCACTCTGTTCTGATGAGTCAACCACCGTTACAGCGGAACATCAGTGATTATGTGTTACAATGGCGTTAGCAACCAGAAAATGACACCAGTAATGAAAAACAGATGAGAATGCTGCGTGGGGTCTGGGTGCCGTGTTGGCGGGACGTGCTCACTGCTGTGAGGAGGGGACAGTGTGAGCTCTATTACTGGTGTTGTTTCCAGGTTGCTGCGTGGGGTCTGCGAGAAAGCGAGACATTGTGAAACTCAGCCGGAACTAAGCCTGAGCACCATGGACGCGGGAAGGGGGGGTGCTGAGGGGGTTGCAGCACCCCCATCTGTGATGCTCCACTAGCACCCGCTCCCCCAAACGCCGCGCACCTACAGTGTAAGCGTGCCACAGTTTCGCCACTGCGAGGCTCCACTAGCACCCCCCCCCCCAGCTCGTCACAGATTCTAAGCTAAGCTGAGAGAGTGTGTGTGTGTGAGGAGCTCCACGGATTGGTCCATTTGGACCAATGGGTCCATTTGGGTATGGTCACGTCACTGTACCCAGGAAGAAAAAGAAAAATCTCCAACGAGGCGCTCTGGGGCAGCATAGACAGGTATTTTCTGTGTTAGAGTTTTACTCGCTACAGGGTGTACTTTAAGGGTTTGTGACTTTGCAGACCGTTTACATGGATAAAAAGCTACACAACACAAAAGGGGACGGGTAATATCCGGAAAGGCATGACATGGGACCTTTAAAAGAGCCCTGTTATGCTTATTTTCAGGTTCATATTTGTTTTGTGTGCCTTCTGTGTAGAGCTGTATTGAAATGACGGTAAAGTGACTGGGTGAACTTACGGTATGTGGCAATGCATGCGACTATTGAATATAGAAGAAGCCATTTAGAACATTTGCTTTCAGTTTAGTTTATTTGTGTAGCTGTTGAGTAACACAGGACTTGCTGTGGTTTAGAGTTGTCACGCCCTTACCCCTATTTTCCCATCAACCTTCTTCTACAATTCATTCTCTCTCACGCTGAGTGCCTTTCTTCTGTAAACGCCGACTGCAGCTGCTTCACAGTAAAAGCTTTCCAATAGCACTTTCTACTTTGCTGGTTTTTCATCTGTCAACATATTTTAGACTCCATTATTTACATATTCAATTGGGATACATAACATTTTGAAAGTCCTTAAGTGTTTCCAGCTGACCTTATTACATATTTATATTTTAATAATTATGTGTATAAAAAGTAGGACACTCCTACCACACCCAAATGAAAAATATTAAGAATTCACGCTACAAGCAGAACATAGAATCTCAGGATGTTGGCAGTTTTTGAAGTGTGAGATTTTTTTAATTTTAAATTTCATCGTAGACATGAAACCCAAAGGGTGTTCTTTTCTGGGATCTACTATTTTATTCGACTCAGCGGGAGGGCTGTAGATGTAGAAGTCATTCCTTTTATATATTTTCTAAAAGAGGGCCTCAAAGTAATTATTATTTTTAACATTGAATAGTAAGATGATTGTTTTACCCTTTACATTACATTACATGTTAGACGCTTTTATCCAAAGCGACTTACCAGTGGCGAACCGTCAGGAACCTCTAGGCAAGATTTTTTTGCTGTTTACAGCATTCCACTATAGTTCTTTGATTCTTTAATCATCTTATTATTTCACCAAATAGTTTGGCTCTCAATAACTTCAGCTTTCAGCAACAGAAACCATTCAAATATCAAACTATTCAGCCTTTTCAGCACATGATGGGAAACGTTCAACTTTTTCAAAAATATTTTATACTTGAAATATTCAGCTTTTTAAACTTTTTTTTAACATGTAACTCAATGGGAGGAAGCTTCAAATGCCCTTTTACCTACACCTTGCGCCAAATGCTTCTCCTTCCACATACTTTCAGCTAGAGGCTTCATTCCAACTTTAAAATGATCACAAGACCTTCAGCTATACAACTTGTTCTTCAGATACTTCACATCTTTTACACTTTTTGAGATATTTAACTTAGTTTGGAGCTTGGTAAAGAGGCCTTCTTCAGATTTTAACATGAGTGTGTATTGCGCAGCTCGTTAAGGCTTATGAGTGCGTGATGTCACAGCTAGAGTGGAGTACAGCTCGAAATTCGCCGTACATTTAAAAAAAAAAACTGCCATAATTCCCAAACCCTACACTCCTTGGAAATCATTTTTTGTTAAATCAGAGCATTTAGGAATCAGAATAAGCTTTTTAAATGGCAACATTTGACTTGACAAGATACAATAAAAATGTTTTATTCTCTGAAAAGCTCCGGTGTTGCTTTCTAAATGACTGTTGCGGTACAAGTGACATCCTGCCAGTATGCAGGACCCTGAAATCAAAGCAGCTAAATGGATTTCAGCCATCATTTTATGTATTATTTACACCCATGCTTTCAGGTCAAAGAGTCAAACAGGACATTAAAAAGGGTAATAGGGCTAATTTCCCTTAAGCTTTCCTACATAAGCATAACACAACTGGGAGGAAAAGGATGACACAGAATCACTAAAATGTAACTTTAGATTAAGAAACTCTTGTAATGATGTTATAAACATCCAAAGCCAAGGGTTTCCAACCTAGTCCGGAGATTTTCCCCACATACATCCATAATGAATCCAACGCTTACTGTATAGGAGGCACTTCCCTGGCTGTGGCCTCTGCAATGCAGCAGAGCATCTACCTCAAAACTGCAACACGCTTATGTGTTACGTTGAATAGGGATTAGTTATAGATAAAAAAATAGTTGTGTGCATTCTGAACAGTGTGAGTTTAACTTTTCCATAATCAAGGGAGCTAGTTGTAACGGGTGAGGACGTGACACAGATACTGGTGTTTTCTCCACTGACTGACTACCCTAGGAATGTGGGTCAGTAAAGTTGACGCTCCACGCTTTGTTTAGATATATTACAGCATGCGTGTGTTCGGGTGAAGTGTTAATACATGAGCCTCTCTGTGTCTTAGCGTGTTACAGGCACTGCCATTCTAGAGATGGCAGCGGCAAATTGCAATGATGATTTATGTTAATCCATGTCATGTTACAGTGACTTGATGACATGATGCTCATTATGATACCCTCCACGCCATAGAAATTAACACTAATATCCAATTAAATCAAACTTAGACAAGGCAGAGGACTGCACGACTGAGCAGTGAGCATTGTTGGCAGGAAATTAGGAGAACTTAGTACAAATTACAGACATGCGGAGGTAAAACTCATTAGTCCCCGACGTTACAGCTGTCCTCGTATTAAATTAGCGAAACACTTGATTATATATTTTAAACAACTTTTCTGACATGATCATTACCAAATTCAAATGACAGATGTAGATACAAAAAAGCTATTTTTGGATCCAATTTCAGTATTCTCTGATTGCTTTGAAACTAATGATAATGAGATCTTTAGACCAATCTATAATTCAGATTTGGTCAAGCAACAAGGCGTAGGAATCTCACTGCAGGCCAATTAACAGCAGGAATAAAGTCTAAAAATGTCCTCTACTGTCTGTATTTACAACTTCTCCCCTCATCGCTGGACAAAAAGACACCCAGAAGGGCGTGCATGTGTGGTGTGCACGTAGAGACTGATGCATGTGTGGCTCTGATCATCTGAGAAAGGTCATAGTCAGCTCATTTGTCCTTCATGCTTCCTGCTTAAAGACTGGGGGGAAGCGACGCTCAGAATGTAGATGACCTATATAGTGTTACACTGCAGAGGAGGAGTGCTATGCATCCACTGATGGGTGCTGCAGATGGTTGTTCCCCAAGAAGGAAGGCGTTCAAAAAGTGATGCTGAGGGGGCCACTGATGGTTGTTTTTAATAATGGCACATACTGGTCTGCAGTTTTTTATTGCGCTGCTATCATTTCTGATGGAAGTCAATGAGAAGTGTAGGGATGTGCAAAAAAGGTGAGGATGTGTGGATACATGTTGTATTAGATTCTGTACATTTCGCATCTCTGATAAACAGCATTATGATGGGTCACTGTAGGTGTGCCTTTTTCTAGAGGATCAAAGTTGTAAAAGAGTTAAAAGATGGAAATGTGCTTACCTCTGCATCCCTGTCCTCAAAGATGCAGAATATCGCCAGTCAGCATTCGGGGCTTTCGGCTGAGCGAGCAGGAGGTAAAGAGAGAGAGAGAGAGAGAGAGAGAGGGAGAGACGGGAGGGG